ATTTTCCTGCCTCTGTACATGGTGCCAGAAGAGCAGAGACAGTCACTGTGAATGTTTCCCCACTGCTGTTGTGGCTGCAGCATCTTGTAAGAGACGTTTTAAAGGCAAAAGGGTAGATGTCAATCTTTGATCTTTCTGTTGAGAAGGTGATCTATTAAAGACTTAGCTAGCTGGGTACCTACTCCCTCAACGGGCTGCCAAACTCATTGCTTAAGGTAACAAACTCCTATTTGCCAGATCAATGCTGACCCTATGTCAAAAACTCGGTCTCCTTTTGTCAAATCTGCAAGTCATCCAAAAAAATACTTTATTAACGGGGAAGAGTAATGGGTGGGAGGTAAGTACCGGAATCACAGTGGTGGCTATGTGAAGAAACTGAAACAAAGAAGTCTGAGATTTTTGTCGGAAAAGAAGTGCATGTTTTTACATTTCAGTGCAGTTTGATAAACCCTCTTAATCAGACAAAAATCTTATTTTGAGACAGATTCTAACTTTATCATTTTTGCTGTTTTGTGGGGAGGCAGAGAGTTGAAGGGGCAGATGAAGGGAAAGTCCTTGGAGCAACCTATCCTCCTTGCTGAAGCCTCTATGGCACTGGGGATGCTCCTGGAGGAAATTAGGTCTTTAAGCATGGGAAAAAGGACTATTGACTTCACCTTTTCCTTTAGAGAGCCTGCCTCAGCATACTTTTTCTCTGAGACTGGACAGATGAGCCTGTTTGTTTTGCATTAGTTGGAGCTTCAGGCTAGCCTTGAGTCCTTATTCACCCTTGCTGCTATTTGGGAACATGAAGGAGGTCATCAGCAAACTACCCAAGCCTTCCTCTCCCTATGCATCCCAGCAAAAGAAGACAGACAATGCAGGCAAACAATAATGCCAGCTGAATTGCCCAATATGTCTATTTAATTAGCACTTAGAAGAGTCACAAATGTTTTCTCCTTGTTTGAAGGAGAGAGAAGAAGAACATGTCCCTGGCCTTGCAGAGAGCAAGACAGAGTTTATACATCGTTTCACCTTAACAGTCATGGGGAAAGTATTACAACACATATCCAAATTGAAAAGAGAAAAAAAAGCTCCATATTTTTTTCTGGGTTTTTTTGGTACATCACTGTGATGTGGGGTTTGCTTTAGCAGCATTTAATCCCTCTGGACAAATGAAAGAGGTGTAAGACGCTGATTTTCTATATACTCACAATTCTCCCACCACTGCAGAATTGGTGTGTGTGTCTTGGAAAATATTTCTCCATAAAAACCACACATGCAAAATAAAACCATTGAATCATAGAATAGTTTGGGTTGGAAGGGACCTCTAAAGTCATCGAGTCCAAACCCCCTTCAATGAGCAGGGACATCTTCAACTAGATCAGGTTTCTCAGAGCCCCATTCAGCCCTTCCATGAATGTTTCCAGGGATGGGGCATCTATCACCTCTCTGGGCAACCCATTTCAGTGTTTTGCCATCCTCATTATAAAAAAAAAATCTTTTGCCATAGTAATTTTCAGAGGTAATTTGGAAAATGTGCACAAACACAAATTACTCTAACAACTATTGATGCTATTGAACTTCCTGTCCTGAGAAAATGGAATTTTCTTGCCCCCTCCCTCCCCAAAGCATCAGTTCTGCAGTGTTCCTTTTATTTTTGTTGCTGTTATCTTTTATGACAGTCAGCCATAAAATCAAATGTGTTCCCTCAAAACAACTCTCATCTTTGTTTTTTAAAACCAGTGTTCTTTTTCTTTTCCATATTAATCGGAAAATATTCCAGTAAAGACAATAAAAAGACCATGCCCTGCCTTGTATTTCATGTACATAAGAAACAAAAGAGTCAAAGATGTTCACTAGACATTTCTAATGCACACATCTGACTTCTTTATGAAAATGCTTAGCCTTTTCCATAAAGAAGAAAAATTCCAGTGAGTCTGAGGATTAAAAACAGAATGTAATGATCTTCTGTGTAAAGTAAAGCCTCTGGTTTCTCAGACTCAATCAGTGTAAAATATTTTGCAAGGCTCTCTTTTCAGGTCAATTTAATTAAATAAAGTGGTACTAGAACACCCTGTCACTATTAAAGTTCCCATCCTTTCCAACCAGAAGGGAACTCCCACAGAGTCCCTGTGCATGTTCTTTACAGTAGTGGTCTACCTACTGATTAAAAATATTCCACAGTGCAAAGTGCATATAGCTATTACTCTTATTCTGTACCTTCTCTCTGTTACAAAGAAAAAAATACATAGGAAAATTACATAAATATTTATTTTCCCCTCTTAAAAGTTAACCATCTTAATATATTCAACATTTCTATATAGCAGCTCTCTTCAATGAGAGCTTGGCTGCACTCTGATTCCATCTCTAGTGCCATTGCTGTTGCTGTGCTGTTTTCTCTGGCCTTATCAATGACAGAAACAAATTTGCCTTATAAGAAGAGTTAATCATCTCTAGATAGATTTCATTCCTGGGCACAGGCTCAAAGTCCATGAACACATAATCTTTTGCAAATCAAAACCTATTTCTCTCTTTCATGCATCATTTAGAATCCCAAGATGATGTACTGCTAGCATCACACCTGTATTTTAGTTCACTTTCTTCCTGATTACCCATCCTTTAGAAAAGAAAGCAAAAGTGACCTTTACTTTTTTCCTCTCATATTTTACTGTCTGTTTGCCTTGTTTTCCCATGCTTTGCTTGTCTATGTAAAGACCTGAAAGAGAAAGCCTGGTTCAAAAACAGCAGCAGAATACCTCCTCAGCATGTTCCTCTTCTTCATAAGGAGGCAGAACAGACCTTAGGAACAGTAAAATACCAGAAAAAAACAAAGCACCTCGTTTTCAGTTGCTAGGATCACACAACAGACCCAGCAGAAATACTGTGTAACTGAGATCTCTTTGAGGCCCAGGTTACCCATATAAAGGTTAGACCTAACCTAGTTTGTGGACAATTTCGCCTGCCTCTCCCAAGCCTTAAGGCAGCAGCAGCAGTAGCAGTGTAGGCTTGGATTGCCATCCTTACGTCACCCTTTGAGCAGCTCAGTCATTACTGCTGTGCCGTAGGTTACAACTGCACTAGCTAGTCAAAAATAGCAAAAGAAACCAAAATAGTCTCAAAAGTGATGAAGTCAAAGAGCTTTGCAATACAAGCTGCCAAGCCAATACCTCCTTCTTTGGGCACCAGAATGAATTCTCACAGTCACTGTCTCCTGCAATTTTTTTCTCCAGCTTCATCTGCAACAAATATATTTTCCTGAGCTTCCATTGCTTTGAAGAAGATAGTATTTTACAGCTACCTTAGATAAATTGTTTACCCATTTCTATAACAACTATGTGCCATGAGCCCTAGATTCTGAGTCTGCTTACAGGAAGGTGCACAAACACTGCAGTTGTGACATGCATTAACCAATATTCTGGCAACAACCGGGCTGACTGACAAATTTGGGTTTTGATGACAGCTTCATTATAACAAGCTATTAGTGTGACTAGGTTTGTGGCTCTTGTGCTAATAATCTGATGTGCACAGCTTTGACACCCTCTTCCCCTCACCCAATTCCAGTAGATTATCTTAATCTTTAATTGGATATGGTTTTCATTTGCATATAATTGCTGCTGTTTGTTATGCAAAACATTTGTTCTCTAATATATTCTAATGCATCTTGAATTTTCAAGACTGGCCTTCTACAACTTGTAGAATGCAATTTGCTTTATGGCATCACAAAGTTCTCCCACAACGAGATTTTTGAGAAAAAAGAATGAATTTTTCATCTCTAGTGAAACATTTTCCTGTTTCTAAATGGTGATGTTAATAAAAGCTTAAAAAATTAACCCAGTAGTAGATGTCCTCCTGTTTGTCCTTTTTCATTCCCTTGGCCTCCCCTGAAGATGTATTAAGTAACACAATTTTTTTTGTTTTGTTTCTTTTAGTTTTTCTGCTACAGTCAACTTGTGGAAAAGCCAATTCTTACAAACAAACAAACAGGCCCAAAGTCTAATACAGACTTTTTCCTACAGCCTTTCTTCCTACACCCACCTTCTCTTTTTCAAGTGGGAGCATCAAGAAAAGCTTATGCTTTTGATCTCTGTGAAAATAAATGAGCTAAAACAAATAAAACCTGGCTCACAAGAGACTTCCAAAACATCTGGTGGAGCTATTTTTCAAAGTAATTAGACCAAGTGGTGGTGTAATTCCCAAATGAAAGGTACCTTCTCGCTTGGCATCCAGTTATTTCTCAGAGCCATCAAAACAGCAGTAAGTCCTGCTTCTCTCTTTGCATGTGTCTCAAACTCTATTGATTACCAGTCTTACCAACACTGGTTTATTACTCAAATTTTTAAAACTGTTTTTTTTTTTGATACTATGAGGATCCTGCTTTACTTCCATGAATGTCAGTGGGATTTCTGGTATTAACTGAGGAAGGATGCTAACCTGCTGTAGCTCTCCTTCATACAGGCTCTATGGAGCAGGCAGGAAAGTGTAATGAATAACGGCCAGGTGCTTGCTCTGGATCAATACGCTGCTCTAAAGTGTGCCCAGGTGCACTTTCTCCTTCTTTCTTGCTGGAAGATGATTAAATTTCTCCTTTTTTTTCCTCATATCTCCCCAAGAAAACATCATTCTAGAAACAACCCAATTGCTCTTTGACACTTTGGGAAGAATGTGGTCTGTGACAACACCACAGTGCAACCACTGTGAATTTGTGACATTGGGGAAGTGACTAGGAAGTAGAGCTGTCTAAGAAAGCAACTCCATTTTTTTTGTGCATGGTTTTCCTGGTTTTTTTTGGTTTCAAACTTGGTCAGGGTGCTCTACAATCCTGTTTCACTAACTGACCTGCATGCAGACACCACCTCTGCGCTATGAGAGTAATGTTCTGTAATGCCAGATACAGAATTCACAGCTGTATCAGAAGTAAAGAAAAGTAGCTGCCACATGAAACAGCTGGTAGATTACAAAGTGGGCTTGATATTAATGCTTTTTAATTCTCATCCCTTCAAGACATAACACAAACTCACCAGAGGTTTCATCTACTCTCTCATCCACCACATGGTCCTTCTGATGAACCCACTCGCTGTTGCACTTAAAATAGATCTGCGTCGCTGGACTTGCTTTGCAGTACAGATTCACCGGCTTGTTCTTCACAATGTAAGCCTCCTCGGGTTCGATGAGGAAGTGGGGCAATGGCTCTGGAGGGTCAGATGGAAAAGTTTCCGGAAGTTCATGAAAAAAATCATCATCTGTAGAGAAGGGACAAATAGGACAAATGAAACAACCAAAATTCAGCTGCCAAACACTTGCAAACCCTTCCTGAAAATTTCAAAAGGCGCATAGTTTTTGAATAAAATGTTGTCTTAGGAGCACTCCTAGACTGAGGCTTAAAATGCACTGCTGTTTTTAGACAAGAAGAAATTGTTCTTTACATCCTGAGCTTTCTTTCCTCTATGTGATGTGACAGGGATGTGCACATTCACACGTCTGGGATTGGTCCTTTGTTATCAGCAGCAGCAATACTAGCAATAAAGCATTATGTTAGCGCTTGGGAGAGTTGCCTGCAAAACCGTAAAAAGAAATAATAGAAACTTTTGGAGGCTTCAAGGTCAGACTTTTCAATGGTGACTTATCGCAATGCTTAATCAGGTGCGCGCAATAGCCAGTGCCAGTTGAGGCTGGTACAAATAGGAAATAGCACCTTCCATTTCAGATGAGCAATTTGAAATCTCCTCTAAGGGCAAAAGACTAAATGCAAGTCCAGTCTGCACCTCTTTGTTCATACTCTGACTCTCCTGCTAAGACTGCTAATGTAGGTGCCAAGCTATGCTTTACTTACTTTGTCTGTAGGACATTTGTCTGTGCAGTCCTTGCTACAGAGAGGACTTGTGAGCTGGGACATGAGGCAGGGCAGCTGTGAAACGGTGACATTTTGGGCCAAAATGGACACATGCTACTGGTGCAAGGAACATCTGCACCTCCCTGCTGCTGCTGGTGATGAATAAAGTCAATGTAAGTAGTCCGGAGAAGGATGAAAAGAATCTCTCGCACAGGAGGCAACACTGAAAACACCTAACATGCATACTTTCCTTTCTCTCTCCCTGCCTCTTCACAAATCCTCCTTTACAACCCCTCTGCCCCTTCCTGCAGAAAAAGTCCTCCACATCAGAAAGCACCAAATTCAATGGAGAAGAACTCTCTTCCCATCCACCTCCCCACCTGCTGTCAGAGCACAGGAATATGCAAGAGGCTTTACAGAAGCAAAGAGGTGGGGGAACACCAACTACTGACAGTCCTGAAGGCTTTATTCAATCTCCCCTATCTGCCTCTGAAGCAGTTATCATTGTGACGGACGCTGATACTGATCAATAAAACACCACAGAACATCAAACTAAAAATACTGCGGAAGGCTGGCTATCTTCTCCCCGCCAGTCTCCAGGAAGATGAAATGTCAGTGGCTACTTCCCCGAAACTGAGACATGGCTCTGCAGGCCGTGTCCAGAATTACAAGGGGCATGACTCTCCTTCCAGACCATGCTCTTCAGAAAGATAAAAAAGAACAGGAACAGATGAAGGAGAGAGGGGAAGAAGGTAATATGATACGTATCCATGCAGCTATATGAAGGTAGACTGTACGTCTTTATTGGTGAGGGGAATACCTTACACAGCAAACAATTTTGTGAACTTCCTGAACTATTTATGAAGACAACATATGTTAACCATTTTTTTTCATTTTTTTCCCTTCATGTTCATTTAAAAATACTCTTGTCCTTCTGGGTGTCTCATTTTAAAAGGAATATCAGGCCTGACTCACTACTGCATCACTCCCTGAGAGTTAATAGAAGCGAACGGGTTCAAAGATAGAAGAAACGGGTCAATAAATAAAATCTGACAATTTTCTAGCAAAGGGAAAATATGTGAAACACTATAACAATTCCATTTCCATCTCCGATTAATCATTTCCAGATACTTAAATTAAATTTAATTTTTTATCACTTTCCCATCCTTCTTTTTTTTCCTGTAGTTTCTTTTTCACTCTGACCACACCAGCCTCCTTCTGCAATCACATTTCCTCTCCTCATTAGGTATTTCTTTCCTGCTCCATTTTGCTCCCCATCTTTTTCCAAAGAGAAAATGAGTTACAGTAAGTTAATGGGAGTCCTCATTTCGTTTCATGACAATGAAACATGTCTGAACTGAATCAAGAGGCTTTTTGGCATTTCTCATCCCCTTCTATGCATACCTCCCCCTCTTCCTCTGTCTCCCTCTTACACACACTGCTCCATAGACATCCACAGCACAGAAACATTAGAGATGAATCATTTCCCCTGAATTGCCACAGGATGTATCTTTTTCTTCTGGTCATTTAATTGCAAATCAGCGAGCAGACAGATGGAAACTAACAAAGCACACATATGTTTTATAATTAAACAAGTATCGCTTCACTAATTTCTGGTGACTGGAAGAACAAATGTATTTATTTTCACCACTAAATTTCTGCACATTATCAAAGGCAATACTTACACTGCCTGACCAATTAACTGCAACTTATCAAAGATAACTAGAAAGTCTAAAAGGAGGGATCAACTAGCTGCAACAAAAGAAAAAAGGTGTTTTAAAAATTATTTCTTTAATCAGCCTGAAAAATGTGTGTGTGGGCTTTGGCTTGTCCTCCTGAAGGTAAATGCTTCTAAAGTTTAAATATTATTTGTATTTTAAAGTGGATTCACAGTACTGTCCAGTACATGACAATCTAGTCCTACATTTTGATTGTGGTGATAGCTGCTTCTCTCCACGAGCCTGGAATCCTTCAGTCAGGTACAAGCCTGTTTTCTTATTGTCTTCTTGCTCTGATTCCTCCTTACTCTTCTTAAACAATAATAAAGCTCAGCTTTATTTTTCCACACTCTTTCTCACTGCTATCAAGAGGCATCTGAACCGCTCTTAAATGTTAGGGATATAGATGGAAACCATTCACAAACTGTCACACAAATAGTGTGCAAAGGCTGCCAAGTCCCTGGAAACAGGAATTTAAAACCATCACTTTCAGAAAAAATGTAAGATAGTAGCTAAGAAAAATTTTTTTTTTGCTTTTTAAACTGGAGTATGTTTATTCAATCCCTGTCCTCTTACTTCTGCTATTAGGAGTAACAATGGTGTTCTTTTTTTATAGAGCAGCTTCTTAATAGGAGTATATAGAAGACGACCATGACTAGGTTTGGCAGAAAAAAATCCCACTCCCACTGCAAAGCTAGTCCTACCTCCATTAGCACTGAGGGACTTTTGTTCCTGTTTTTCACTGTGGAAAGGTAACTGATGGCTTAATCAGCCTGTGAATCACAGTGGGAAGTCACTTGGTGTTCCCTGCCTCCCCTGAAGACATGGGGTCGGCTGCTGATGGGCAGCAAAGCACCCTTCTCCTCCCACCCAGGCACACCAGTCACCACCAGCTGAAGTGGCAGGGTGGTGGTTTACAGGTAGAGAGGGTGTGCAGCCCCACTTTCCCTGTGCCAGGCTGTGGTAATTACCTCTCAGGATGAGGATCTTTTGAAGAGGAAGAACATTAAAGCCCCTCATGATGGCTTGCACATCACACCAGGCACAGCTTAGGACAGTCAGCCAATTCAGCTGCTGATTTGGGACAGGGTTTTGAACCATCAACCTTAACACATGTCTTGGATCCAAGTCTTGCATTTCATTTTTTGAATTACAGTAATATGCTGTTTTGATTTCATTGTAATGCTCACAGCAATATGCAAAAATTATAATGGTAGTGTAACTATATGCCAAAATATTCCTAAGAACCCAATACAGAAAACGTGAATAAAGGATATTTGATCATGTTGAGATTTTTTTGCAGAATGAGCTTCTGGTAACACCGAAGCAACCTAAAAAGATCTGTGTTTTTATGAGGACACAGTTTCTAACAACGTAAAAAATACTTCCATCGAAGTTTCTCCTGACCAGCTGCAAACACAGGTCATTCCTCACTCCATACAGAAACCAAACTCTGACTTAGCTTTTTCAGGGATGATTTTGTTATAACGGTGTGGCCTGCTGGGCCCGTTTCTATAATTTGGATGGGAGTTGCTTCTCATTGTGTGCTCCACTGCTATATGAGGTGATAAATCTTGCCTCAGACTTTGATCTGCATCTTCCTGATGGCTATTGCTGGTTATTTAAAATGTTCATCTCCCAATGGTGCAACAAAGCAGCAAACTTTATAATTCTCTTATTTAACTCTCCTAAGTAGTTAGACATTTTTTTTCTTCTGTCGGGAGGAAAAAAGCTAATTAAACCATTTGGGAGAGATCTGGGCATGTAGATACAAAAAACCACTAAAAATTCACATACTTGATTTCCAATCATTATGTCAATGTCATGTGCAGCTAGTTCCCCTTACAACCTTGATCAAACACAAATACAAGGCACACATTGTTCTCCCCTGTTGTAACAAATCCCCTTCTGTGCTCAGCAACTTTGAGCTGCAAGTTTACTTCTGCAGTATGTCACATTCATCTTTATTTTCACATAATAAAGTGTACAGCCCATCTGTTGTTATTGACTGATTTATATTAGCAAGACAAAAGACCTGATTAATGGTACTGCTAAACTGGTTTCAGTCATGCAATTCATTCATATTAAGAAAATAAATTTTTAAAAGCCACTTTACTCTATAAACTTCATTTGGAATTTTTATTTTATTTGCCGGCCCAAAAACAGATATGCTTTTTTATTTGCCTTCTGTAGTATCTGACAACTATATTTTTAAGAAAAACAAAGTCAAACACAAAATCTATAGAAAGAGATGAAATGCCACTGAAATCAGTATTGATAGGATCTGGCATGGACTGTCACGTGTAGGAATTTTAGCTTAATTTTACTTCAGTTTACTTTCAAGGTGAAAAAAATTTTGCCTAAGTCAGGAATCTTCTGATGTTAAGAAAGGTCTTTATTGTTTTCATGCATTTGTTCACAAAACTATACATATTATAGCTCTCCATGCATAGCAAGTGAAAAGGAAATTTAATGGTATATTTCTCTTTTTATGGACTAGTATCCCTGCTCTAATCTGTGGCAGGAAAATATTGTGCTCCATACACCAATCTATTCATCTCTAGATCACTAGTTTTATTACTATATATCAAGCTTTAATTCTCATCAACCCAGTATATAACTCAGTATATATCTGAACTGCAAGACTTGAACTATTATTGCTTAGATGATAATATATTGGACCATTATCTCT